CAAACAAACAAACAAACAATCTCCAGAGTTCGTCTTCTCTTGCGGCGGAGATTGTACATACATAGCAACTTTTCATGTAGCTGATTCGAGTCTTTCTCGGGGTAATGAAAATATCTATGGCATCAATAATGTTCATTATATTTCTGCATATTCTGCCCAAGACTCTGCTGAGTGTCTACAGAACGTCCAATGGCATTTTTAGTTTTCTCCTGTAGCTTCAAAAACTCATGAGGAAAATTTTCAATCCAACGTTTCCTGATGTTCATCCACTGATTTTAAAGTGTATAGTTATATCTCTCCTCCATCCCATCAAAATATGGACGAAAGGCTGTTGTTCTAGTCTTCTTGACTCTAAGGGTTTCACACACATCTCCACAAAAATGGCTTTTTAAACTTCCACCATCACTAATCTAAACGAAGTCCTATAGCCATCATGAATATTGAAACAAATTCATTTACAAGCTTTAATTTACATTATATATATGGTTAAGAATAGAATTATTTAGTGATGTAATGATATATTTATTTGCAATGTTGCTCTGTGCTGGAGAACCAAACACATTGACAACAACTTCCTCAAGTGGTGCTCCAACACAGTACTGTTTTAATTGCCCATGACGTTTCTTCTGTGTATCTTTTTGCTCACAGCATAGTTCACATGATTTTCGACATTCAACCCAACAGAAACGCTTTTTTACTCATTCATTGTCTTCTTAACACCTAAGTATCCAGCTATTCGAAGATTCACAGAATGAACGCATGACAGACAGTTACCTTCATATAGCCTATAGACAAAGATATACAGGCACAGTGAGATTCATTATGCCTATGGTAAAGTTTGTTATGTCGAAAATGGAAGATATCAGAGGACAGAAATTATGACAACAGTTGGTTCTTCTAACAGTCCGAGGTGATCCATCATCTCAACCCATTCCTGCTTCACTAAATAACTGGCTTAAGTCTCATATATTTCACTTCAGCATGCATCAGTTGAATGTTGGGCCACGTTAGTTCTTTTCATCTGTTAATATTTCACTTTGATTTTTGTTCTGTTGCACGTTGGATTGGTTATCTTATTATATTGTCTTTCCTTCTCTTCACACTGTTTGAATTTTCGGTAGTAGAAGGTATTCAAAATAATGCATCTTAGTTTTCTGTAACTTTCTTTTTTATCTTTCTTTAACTTTTTATCCCTCTTTTTCTTTCTTCCTGCTCAATATTCCACTGTTTCATCATTATTCAGCAAATTTTCAATCTAACTTCGAGCACATGTCGTCATCTTGAAGTTTGTTCTTGATTTTATTTTGATCAATATAATACCACTCCTTACACAAGTTTTATAACGATTTTTATTGTTGGGCAGATTAATTTTTATTATTCAGTAGAAATAATGCAAAGACCAGTCCACTTAACGAAAATGAACGCGCCATCACTTCTTCATGCCAAAACTCCCTCTAGCAAACGATACAAACGTCTAACTTAAAATAATAAAATATAGTTCACAACTGAAGTGTTTCTAAAGTATTCCCCCTAGTAGCTCAGCGGAAAGCTTGAGGGCTTATAACGCTAAAAATCGGGTTTCAATAGGCACAGCATAGAGTATTTTTTCGCTTGAGAACAAACTATAGTATTTGTAAATTAATACCTTATCTAGAAGATTTAATGTATAAATTTAATGATTTATAATTATTTCACTGAAACAACAAGCTAAAAAAAATGGTTATTACTTAGTTAATGTGTGGATAATGCTATAAGAATAATTTTAGAGTGTTTTTTTTAAATCTATATACACATGCACACATATATATATATATATCAGGAAATGGGTATAGTAAAGTAATCATAGGAAGACAGATTTATCATTTTAAGTTTTATAATGTGTAAGTAAGAAATAAGGTAAATTCCGTGTAAGAACGTAAGACTAAACATCATCTTATCACAGATAAGATTGTAAGTGTAAGTAAGAAATAAGGTAAATTCCGCGTAAGAACGTAAGACTAAACATCATCTTATCACAGATAAGATTGTAAGTGTAAGTAAGAAATAAGGTAAATTCTGCATAAGAACGTAAGACTAAACATCTTCTTATCACAGACAAGATTGTAGGTGAATCTGAGATAATAATATTGAATTTTACTCTGTTTAGGGGTTGGATTTAGTGTCAGTAATGCAAGAAAAGGTCGTTGGTCATCCTAAAAGAGATGCAATAACAGGAGAGTTGCTCAACCAACCGAAAGGCGTCTCTGATGTCACTGCCACAGTGAGTGTTGACTGTTATCACTTTTATTGCAGTGTGATGCCTCAGTTTCTTCTTTTAGCTGAAATAATTTTATTGGTATTTTTATATTTTTTTTAAATATAAAATTATCTATATTATATATGTATTATTATTACTACGGCTGTGTTATTCCTCAGTCTTGTGTACTTTTTGCAATATTTTATGTCTGTTTAATATTTGCAAATTAGCAAGCCCAGACTGTGGATCCGAGGATTTAGGGTTCGCAATCCGTAGCTGCAGTCCCTCGGTGGGACAGTGATACGTTTAGGGACTTACAACACTAAAATCCGTGGTTCGATTCCATGCGATGAACACAGCAGATAGCCCAATGTGACTTTACTCTAAAATAATCAACCAAGTGGCACAGCGGTATGTCTGCGGACTTACAACGCTAGAAACCGGGTTTCGATACTCGTGGGGGGGCAGAGCACAGTTAGCCCATTGTGTAGCTTTGTGCATAACTACAAACAAACAAACAATACAACCGTAGCTGCAAAAACGCCCTTCGTACTCTGGGGCCGTGGGTGTGCTATAAGAATGCAGTGAAATCATTCTATTCAATTAGAATAGTCAACAGTAGGTGCTGTTGACCAGCTGCCTTACTTCCGGTCTATCATTTCAGAATAAGGAAAGACTAAGCGAAGATAATTCCTTGTATAGCTGTGCATAAAATTTTGAAACAAATATATCATTTTTATTTGTCGGGCTAAATCGAACATTTGTAACGTGATTTTCACTGGTCTGAAGCCTGTGGATGTTATGATTAAGTCGTTAGATTTATCATTTTTTATTTCAATAGAATTATAGCAAAGTATTTAACATTTCAAATCTTTTGGCTGCGAAATATTTGAAATACCGTTGGGTAGTGAGCTTGGTAGACAACCAGCAATACGGACTTAATAGCTCATGGTCTACTTACTGGAATTAACGAGACTGGCGTGTAGGGAAATTCAATGAAAACGTGCTATTCAATTATCCTCGTTTTCTCTAAGTTGAAATAAATGTTTTGTTTTTTATGTAGACAGTTATGTAGATAAAGTTTAAATGGATGTTTTTATGTAGACAATTATGTAGATAAAGTTTAAATGGATGTTTTTATGTAGACAATTATGTAGATAAAGTTTAAATGATGTTTTTATGTAGACAATTATGTATATAAAGTTTAAATGGATGTTTTTTATGTAGACAATTATGTATATAAAGTTTAAATGGATGTTTTTTATGTAGACAATTATGTATATAAAGTTTAAATGGATGTTTTTATGCAGACAATTATGTAGATAAAGTTTAAATGATGTTTTTATGTAGACAATTATGTAGATAAAG